TCTCTAAACTTTACTGGAGCAATCTCTTTTGTTCATCACTAAATTCCCAGTACCTAGCATATAGGTGCTCAAATATTTGTTGGCATATTAACCCACATTATTTCACATAGCTAGGATGTGGCTCCTATAAAACTTAGAGAGCCATGTGTCAGCTTGGGCTTCCTCATAATGTGGTGGCCAGGTTCCACAGTGAGCATCTCAGGAGAGCAAGGCAGAAGTGCATGGCATTTTATGATATAGTTTTGGAAATCATATACTGTTTGTTAGTTCTGTCATATTTTATTGGTCAAGGTAGTCACAAAGTTCTTTCCAAATTCAAAGTAAAGGAATACAGATTTTGCCACTCGATGGAAGAGTGTCATGGTCACATAAGAAGAGTACGTGAAATGGGAGATCTTGTATTGGCTATCTTTGAAAAAGAATCTGTTAAAGTTTGTAGTTTTCATCGAATGCCCCAAATAAAGTGCAGTGGTGTCATCGTAGCTCACTGCAACCTCAAACTCCTGGGCTCAAGCTATCCTCCTGCCTCAGCTTCCCGAGTAGCTGGGACTACAGGAACGGGCCACGACACCAGACTAATTTTTCTATTTTTAGTAGAGATGGGGTCTCGTTCTTGCTCAGGCTGGTCTCGAATTCCTGAGCTCAAGCAATCCTCCCACCTTGGCTTTCCAGAGTGCTAGGATTACAGGCATGAGCAACCATGCCCGGCCCCTATTTTTCTCATGATTATGTTCATATTTTCCTTTAAATCCTCGAATGTATTTAAGTTAGCTATTAACTTGTTTGCTAATTCTCTTATCCATGACATTTTCTGGGTCTGTTTCTTTTTTTCTTTTTTTAATTTTGTTTCAGACTAGCAGAAGAGATCTGGGTCTGTTTCTATTAACAGATTCCCCCCCGGCCCCCACCCCATACACACACCCCAGTTGTAGATATTTTCCTGCTTCACAAATCTAATAGTTTTTTATTGCATACTAGACATCATGAGTGCTATTGTTGAGTGTCTGGATACTGTTATCTTTAAAGAATACTGAATTTTGTTTTGGCAGGAAGTTACACTAATCAGCGTGATACTTTCAAAGCTTGCTTTTAAGTTTTGTTAAGGGAAAAAAAAAAAGCTTTGTTAAGGCAGGTTTGGAATAGTTTTTGCTCTTAGGGGCTAGGTTAGTTCTACTACTAAAGGATGATTCTTCATAGAGTTCTACTCAATGTCCCTGGTATTCTAGGTCATCGCTCTACTCTGGCTAGTGGGAACTCAAGTATCTCCCAGTGTGTTTGAGCTCTGGGAATTGTTTAGCTTGCAATTCCAGTTTGCAGTTTCCTTGCCTGGCCTCCTGGGGTTTCACTTAACACGTGTAGCTTAGTATTCAGTAATAGCCTTGAAGGGATCCCTATGCAGATTTCTGGAGGTCTTTCCCAGCCACCTCAGATTCCCCAAATTCCAGTCTCAATCTACTCAATTGATCAAAACTGCAATGCTGGACAACTAAAAATATATAGAAAAAATTAGCCGGGCATGGTGGCGCATGCCTGTAGTCCCAGCTACTCGGGAGGCTGAGGCAGGAGGATTGCTTGAGCTCAGGAGTTTGAGGTTGCTGTGAGCTAGGATGACGCCACGGCACTCACTCTAGCCCGGGCAACACAGTGAGACTCTGTCTCAAAAAAAAAAAAACAAAACTGCAATGCTTTGCTTGGGGTATACATTGTGGTCTGGAAAGTGCTTTCAGGCAGAAAGCTGAGATGATCACAGGGCTCACCTCATTTGTTTCCCTTTTCACAGGGATTTCAGTTATGTACTGCCTATTAATCTGATGTTTTTTTCATGCATCTTTGATCCAGTTTTCTGGTTTTGTATGCTGGGAGAGAAAGTTCTGTACCAGTACTGCAAGTCTAAGTATGAATTTTACATCCAGGATTTTGTTCTTTTAAGCACTTAAAGTACAACTTAGTTTCCAAATGTAAAAATGAAATGAGGTCAACTTTGAGCTAGAATTAATAATGTGGGTTCAAGTTTCAGGCCTACCTCCAACTTGCTGCATGAATATTGGCAAATCTCAATTTTTCTTTGGCTGTTACAGCTAAATTGAATTGAGTATAACCCTATTCTCTGTACTTCTCAGTCATTCCATAACAAGCAAATGCAAGTAAAACAAATCACACTAAATGGATGAGGTTCTATTTATAGATAGTTGACAAAACTCATGTCCTAAACTTCCCTTGCCTATCTCCCAGTACCACACTGTGAAGTATAAAAGGGCCTGCAATGAAAGTGTGTGGCAAGACTGGTGCTGTTCCATTGCTCCTCCTCTTAATAACAGTCAACTGTTACTGAATGCTTTCTATGTGCCAGGAACTGTATAAGTCTTGTATGTGAATTCACTAAATTTGCATAACTGCCATATGTGAGAGGTACTATTATTGTCCTGATTCCACACATGAGAATGAGGCAGAGATTAAGCAATTTGCATATCATACAACTAATAAGTGGCAGTGGCAGAATTGGGATTGATTTGAACCCCAGCTGTGTGGCTCTGGAGCCATGCTCTTAACCACTATGCGACTATTTGAAAACTGCTGAAAAATGTATCAACTGCTGCTGATGTAGAATCACTAATTAACCTTAAATATAAAAGAAAGCACATCTCTGGAATCCCTGTAACAAATTTTGCTTGTTTTTTTGAGACAGAGTCTCACTGTGTTGCCCGGGCTAGAGTGCTGTGGCGTCAGCCTAGCTCACAGCAACCTCAAACTCCTGGGCTCAAGC